CGTTACCTGCGTTAGATTAGTAAACTATGCAAATGTTAGTTGTGTCGTCACCCTCGCGCTTAATTACGCCAATTCTAACTCTTTCGTGATATTTTCATTTCAAGTTTCTCTCTCGCTTAAATTAGTCAAGTTATGATAAAACCTATATCGATAGCTAGATATACGGAATAAAATCGTGCGCTTCTTCCGAAAATCCAGCCCCTTTCTACTTATTCAAAACGGGTTTTCCTATATAATCCCTGAAAAAGGGCTAACTTGAATGTCAAATATTATGGCGAGTATGTTTATACGATTTACGTACTTCTATTAATCTAGACTGCCTTTCACTCGATTTGCACTGCGTTGTATAATCGCCGAAGTGGGGTTTCCCTTTATACAGCGGTGCGCTTGTCACTGTCTTAACTGACTTGATAAAACTTCTAAAACGCATTACTAAATAGGTTCATCGCTTTAATACCTTTTTTCTAACCCGTATATAAGTTATTTGGCGAGTAATACTTGTTTTTATTTTTGAGTTAGCTCTCTTCCGACGCTTATAACACGAAAACAACAACGACTGGTTCTTAACCATTTTCAGTTCACTGGCGCTCACAAGTTCTCATCAACCATCATGTCAATCAAGACGACGAAGCGGTTCTAATGCTCAGTATTATTCCAGTTATAGAGGCAGCCAAGTTCTTATCAAGGTCGCAAATGATACATCAACCACAAATTTGCTTTTAGCATTACTGTACCCGATTGTTGCGAATCGGCAAAGATCTATAGGTAGTCACCAGCAATATCTCCCCATCGTTTCATTAGCTTGCCTGCCTCATGTTCGTTCTGACACTCAGAAGGATCAAACCATTCAAAAATGGATATCTTCGTGTGCTAACCTACCAAAAACAGGCAAATCTGAGTGAAAGTCGGCGACTACCCGCATCCAGAACGCTATATCAGAGGTGCCTAGCTGCTGTCGCGACCTCGCTGCACCTAGGAGGCCCATTTCATCGACTGGAGAGTCGTCAAACATCACGTTCAGTAGCCCCAATACGTCGTTTGTCGTTCTGTTTGCACCTCTAGAGAGTTTTACAGTGTCGTTCTCGTTTAGCAGGGCGATTCTGTCCACTTTTGATGCTTTTGTTTCTTCCTAGAAGGCCGTCTACCACGGTTCGTGCACTCAGACTTTATTTTGTCCAGCACCCAGTCTTCATAATTCTGGCTGGGGACTTCCCCCTTCCGTCTGCGTTCCCGTCCACAGGCATGATATTTTGCGCGTTGGTGGGACCGTAGTGGCGTGCTGGCTACCTGTACTAGAAGGTGACGCTGGCACCATAAGAACGCGCTACAGCTGGAAGATTTAATTCTGTTCTGAACTACAATGCTTAACAGAACTTATTTTGACCATTTACAGTTGCGCATTTGTGTATCATCTCATGGGTGATCGCATAGCAAAAAGACACGAGACGGTATTCCGAGACGTTTCTCCTTGGTTAAGAATCAGCCTAAGAATCTGGAGAAACGTACAAGATTTTCGGAATCGGCACACGATTTTACCCCATATATCAAACTCTCGATACAGGCTTTATCCGAGAAAAAGACTTGGCTTCATGAAATTAAGATGGCAACAGAAGGGAACAGTGAAAAAGGGGCCAACAAAGTTTTTACAAGAGTCACATAAGAACGCAAATCGGGGTTTTAACAAAAGTCGAAGAGACGGCTAGCCAGGACGTGATTGGTTATAATGGGGTCAGTTTGTTTAGCAGCTTTTAGAAGATCCGGGTAGCATCGGCCAAAACAAAGACAGTAATTCCATTTGAGCAAGAAGGACAAGCCATCAGCGGACACGATTGGTGTGAGCAGCAAGAAAAAGATCACGTCATCAGCTAACTCGAGTGATCCGAGTAGCAGCCTGGGTTGGAAGAAGAAGGAAACGCCACTTACAAACGCGAGAGACCCGAGCAGCAGCAAGAAGGACAAAACGAGTGCACCCTGGGCAGGAAGAAGAATGTCAAGCCGCCATCAGACCGGCCGAGCAGCAGCAAGAAAAAGGGCCGACGTAAGGTGCAGTATGAAGAGACGACGAGTTCGATAATGTGTACTGTCCGTGCAGCAACGCATACTGGAGAAGAACGTGAAGAAGCGTGTAATGCGTCGCCTTATTGCTGGGTTTCGCTAGTTGATAGCTGATCTGTACAACCTTGCATCATGAAAAAGAAACTAATAAAAGTTTGTTTATACAAGCAAATGTCCACGTTTCTATATCGCAAGTACTGAAGTAAACTTTTACTTCGGATATTAGGCGTGCTCGCACCGCAGAACATCGCGAACGCCGCGAAAATAAAGAGTTTACAATCTCAGTTTTCAATCTGCATGCCGAGTTCGGAGACAAATGGACGCACTCGAAATCTTGCTGCACCGGAGCTTGGAAGGAGCGAGATAAGAGTTTTAAAAACTTTTCGGATTTATGCTTCAAAGCTAGATGATGTTGGGTCATATAAAAAACAACTGAACTCAGATGTGCCCAATTTAACCATGATAGAGGACCGGCAAATCCCATTGCAGTTGATAGGAACGAGTACCAACTCGGAGGACAGACCAAACAATAGGTTGGCAAAATCCTCTTTGCTGATACTGATTTGCATCAACAACAACACCCAACTTATGGACTTAACGTACATAGTATCGTGACGCCCACAGAATAGGTTTTGAGAAGAACATCTACTGAAACATCGCCGAACGCACCCTTAACGGTGATGTCAATTGTTCCCACTTAAAAATCAGAAAGATCAAAATCAGACAGTATCGGTTTTAAAAAATCAGCAATACACGAACGGTACTTTACCTGAAACGAAAACACTGGAAGTTGCTCTAGTCGATTTTCGAGGTCGGAGTCTTAGGGAACTCTAAATCTCCAAGTCGAAGTCGATGTGAGCCAGCCACAGCAAAGGCTTCGCCCCAGGCTCCATGTCTTGTACTGCGGTGTGCTGCATCGCCTCAGCGACAAATGTCGTCAATACGCCCACATTGTCTATGACAAGACCAATGTCCGGCTATAGTGTCCCCCTTTTCTTCTCTTGCAGCGCAGCCACCTTGGAAGCGCAATATCAAATAACATCAACCGGCAAAATATTACATATGTAATGGGCCCCTTCATTATATATTAGTTGGTGCATCAGCACAGGAGTAGTAGCGTGTGCTGAATTGTCATCATCTTAGTGGCTGGTATATGGGGAGCCAGACCCATTATTAGTAAATCATTCGATGACATGTATTCGAGCGGCCAGGGCTGTCACCCGGGTCCTAAATAAAGTCAGAGTTGAATTTTCCTGAAAATTGCGAGCTTCCTCCTATCTACAGTGTAAGCTAGTGACGGATAAACTTCTGGCCCGTTACAACATATCTGTTGAGGTTGGATAATTGAAACCGGAAGCATCTTTTCGTCAAATGTGCTGTATAATCTTGGGTCATGTAGAAAATTGGAATAAACAGAAGCGCTTGAAAAATTCGTGCGCTCCATATGTTGGGGATTCCGACAGGATTACAGGCAGCGATTTAACAGAGAGCAGCTCACGCGAATATTGAAGATTGACGTAATCCCCTCCGGCTTTATCTTCAGACGTGGCATCCTGAGCCGTAGACGGTTCCTCAGTAAGACAAGCCGGGCTATCTACTTACCCGTTAGCACCAGGATCTTGTCGAGAGGATGAATCTCCGTTTTGGCCACCAGAAGCTTGGGAAGGAGGCACGGCTTCGCTCTGGCGATTCCAATTTATTTCTAGAGCGGTACTACCATTGCTGATGATACGTAGGGAATCCACTGACGGATTAGGTGGTTTCAGAAGTTTCTTGATAGTGCTTAGAAAGCGCTGCACCCAACGTTTTTGATTACAGTCAGTTTCCAGCTGGAAACCCGGGAATTGACTACAGTCAGGTCTTAATTTTTAAACGCCTGGCTCAGAGCGCTAACAGGTGTATCAGTGTAACGCCTCTGAGAGTTCAATTTGAAATATATCATCAAGAGCTATCGATCCAGAAGGCTTCCCGATGGGAGAACCCTTGTTGATATGGGTAGCCGGATAATTGTTCGTGGAAAAATAAAACACATTCGAGTTTGTCGAGACTGGTAGACCACTTTTCAACAGCACCAACGTGTGCCACTGACTGGCCATTGTATGGGCGGATGGAGCCAGCGATCAAACATGTGTTGTCCAAATTGTTGATTGCCCAGTCAATTACGAAGGACGTTGGCTGGTTGGGAAATCCGAAGCTGTTCTGGTCCCACATGTTTGCCACCGAAGTGTGTAAGTAGAGTGAATTGTAAGGTGGGCCCGGAAAGAGTGCTTAGATCGGGCCTTGAAGACACAGGAGTAGCGCCATACAGTGCTTCGTTGCTTCCTATCTCAGTAAAAGTTGCCGTAAATACAGCAGTATCTTGGGGTTCGTCAACTACGACAGGAGATCATGTATTTTCGACGTTCAGTTTAGATGGTCGAGCAAGTGTCGCTACTGTTGCAAACAGACGACAGGCGTTGATGATATCGATACCGGTATCTTGCATTGCAAGATACCTACTTCAAATCGTTTTGGCTAATCCAACCGAATAAAAATTCTAGAAGTATTATAATATTTTTAGAAATTGATTACAAGATCTGTTGTTTGCATTACACGCCCAAACACTAAAAGAGTAGCGTTACAGCATGTTATAATACTTCTGATGTATAGCTTGACCAGCAGCTTTGTGCTTACTTTAATATACTATATAATTTCATATGACATTTTTGATAAAAGCTCGTGTTTTATATTAATTACAAAAAAGAGCTGACCTCTGTACTTCAAAAAAAAATGTTTTGACACGACTCTGCACTGCAGTCGTCTTAACGTTCAAACACCCGAAATATTCGGGGCTTTGTGTTAAGATGTGGTACCAAAAAAAAGGATATGTGCTGTATAAAAGTGCGACTGCTGCAAGCCTTCGTCATGTCGATCATGGCGGCCCGTGCCGCCATCCAGCGCTGCTGCTGCATCCTCCGTTGGCGCGCGAAGGCACACGTCCTCGTCGCTCCTGCATCACGCCAGCACTGGCCGCGTCTAGGCCCCACTGGAGGATACCGGTATGAATCCGGTCTACCAGAGACCGGCCAGTTGTCGCCGTGGTGTCGTCTGGTACAAACGGCGCTATCGCCGCTCAACAACGTATTGTGGTTCATCAGCTTCGCATTGTACCTGATTGTAGGCCTATCAACAGTATATCCAGCTTAATATGTCCGGAATACTTTTGTGCAGGCTTGCCATCAAAAACGCTCATTTGTGCATCAGATTTACAGAAATCAATTGATAATGTTGCTATGTGTATTTCCAGTTTTGGTTACACGAATGCGCGGTTGTTAAATGTAACCTGAACATGAAAATATACTATTGAATATTTGCTGTGCAAAGTGTTTGCAACAATTTTATTTAGACAGTGAAAAGAAAAGTGTTTGTTTTCGTATATGACGCGCCGGAGTGAAGCAGAGGCGGTGTCGACCTATTCTACTCCAATTAACCATACCAAAAGCGCTAGTATGTTACGTACGAAAGCGAAGGAATCACGTTATCCTGTTGTTAAGCATGTCCGGGGCTAATAAATGAAAGAGCCTAAGCTACACAGGACTACAGCAGAAGACAAGTGAAGTTTGTCCCCATTCAGGACAGAGTAGTAGTCAGATTAGCTAATTGTCACCAATGTGCCTCAATAAGACAAATAAATGAAGGTTGACTCGGCCTTCTGTGCCGAACAGGCAATTGCAGGCTGTCAGGGCCTCAATTAAAAACAAAAAAATTACAATGGTTTCCCTCGTTTTTGTACTTGCTTCGCTGCCACAGCATATACTAATGTTGTCAATTATGCATTGTAGAAAAGCCTTACTTAATATGATCGTCTGGTGTCAGTCGAAGAAATAAACATCTGGATGTTCTCGATATACCGCTCGAGCTACCAATTGATTAGTCAGAAATCGAGGATGACGAGGATGCTAAAGATCTGAGCCCAAAACACTCAACGTGGAAAAGATGTTTGCATATCGCAACGGTTCCGGATTACCTACTCACACAAAGTACGACGAGTTCAGTCAGCTTTCAAAAGACGATTCACAGGCGCCAGGAAATGCGCTGTAGAGGCCTATAGGCCGAGAAAATCGACTTTTTCTTATCTAGCACTAATATGGGCTTGGAGCAGTGTGCGTTTCAGCCCGCAAATTCAAGAATCAGACCCGATGCGCGGGAGGGGGGGGGCACTAATGGGCGGCTATCTTTTCAAAAATGACAAACTCAACTCATAATTGTGACAATCGTTAGATGCGCCGCCATGACCTTGTTCAAAACGATAAGCTCATCAATAACAGCTAGAAGGTGATAATACTCTCGACACGTGTGCGTCTTTTCTTCGGTCTGCTCTTGTTCTTGTGCAGGGACTGCTGCTTCCTCATTCAGCGCCATGGACCACGCGAGCAAGTCAGCGGTACAGATCTGAGCGGCTGCCAGGCACTCCTCCACGCGCGTGACGATAGGCGCTTCTGGTGCTAGCGCTTTGCGCTGCGGGAAATATCGTACAAGGTAAGCTGTAAGTACGCTAAGTGTCTTGGTACTCACGTTGGGCCGTTGATCTTTTAGCCCTGTGCACGTGCTGAACAGGAGCTCCTGCAAACACCCAAGTCGCTCACGCGTCGTGTGATCCTGTTCCGCGATGTCGATAACCGTGGGTGATGCGTCTGCATCCCATCCGCTCAGGACTCGTGCTACCTTGCGATCTTCACGTGCGGTGTTCGTAACGTAGGCGAACGCCTTGCTCGTCTTGGTCATGTCCCACGCCCCACGGTCGAAGATCCATTGGGCTGCTACGTGGTCGTCGCTGTTCGCGTGCTGAGCTCCGCCGCGGCGAAAAGAGTGTGAGGTAAGGTCTGCAGCAAGTCCTGCTGGATCGGTGACGCGCTTGAGCATCCGGTTGACGTGGCCCTGCATGCTGTCCTCACCACTTTCACATCTCCGCTAGGCTTCTTCTACGACGGGGGCTGCTAACCATGGTGTATGTGCTCGCAGATGGCGACGTGGGAGTGGGATTTACTGTGGCATCGACTGTTGGGGCGATAGTGGCGGCTGGTGGGGAGGTCGGCACCACGGCGACTTGGAGCGAGGCAGTTTCAGCCGCAAGCAAGTCGTGTAGCGGGGCGCCAGCGTCGAGATGTGTAGCGGCTTGTGGATTCAGTACTGACAGGTGTCCAAACAGGGAGACGCATGGGACTTCTTGGGTAGCTAAGGCTACTGACAGCGTGAGCAAGGGACACGACAAGAAGTCATCTTTGTCAGGCACCAGGGTGAGACCCTGCTCCTCGGCCGTCTTGATCCTCAGCAGCCGCAGGTAGAAGGCACTGTCAGCGGACACTGAGACGTGTTGCTTCTGGACGTAGCTAAGATCCGAAGAACGCCCGAAGCAGTGCCACATCAGGCGTGCTAGGGCAGCATCCTGGTAATCTGCATCGACTCGGGCGGTGCTGTAGACATAACGAGCTAGAGTTTTTTTTAATCATCTTTCGTACAGGGAGGAGCCTTATTAGTTAGTCCACCATTTTCA